ACAGTGGTGATTACTGTGTGTCTTTATTAGTTATTAGTATTATTAGTTACTATTATTAAGTACAGTGATCATGTGAACACACACAAACTTATCAAAAGTCTCTCCAGCTGTTAAAGCCGACTGACAGCTGATCCAGCTGTGATCAGCTGATTCATCAGAAACAGACGTCGCTTCGCGTGACGCAACTGAGGAAAGGACGTCTCATGTCTCTTAAAACATATTTCCTCGTTCCTCTCTCCTCGCATGGTTTCCTCCATGCATCCCTGGTGGGAGGGACTAAGACGCAAGGAAAGGACCCAAGTGAGGGAAACGGGGATGCAATTAAGAGACTTGGGATGTACCCATAGAGAGCAGAGTAGGACTGTTGAAGTGAGAGTTGTGAAAGTCAAATCATAGGACGATTTCCAAAAGAGAAAAATGTCCAGAAACACCAGAGTCATTAGACTCTGACTGGACAGACTCATATAAGTGAATTCTTCAAAACACTCATTTCTCTTTTTAGTAGATGAGAAAAATATAATATTGTGGCTTTTTCACTTCTCCCTGAATGAACTGAATTTAAAGCTTCAGGGCAATTCAGTGAAAATAACTTTTCGAAAATGAATTTCGTTACATAATTTATTTTTTAATCCAGCTGTTATTTTACTTGAAATGAGAAGAACATTTATTCATGTATTTCTATGTATTATTTACAATCCATCCAGTTAAATTTGAAAAATGAGAATAATATTTGTTAAAATATAATTGATGTGTACTTTCTTTATTTGATTTGGCAGTTGTTTACTACACAGAGACGTTACTACTACTAGACTTCTTGAATATAGATATACCCAAATTATATATATATATATAAATAATTTGGGTTGTGGGTAATGACAATTACCCACATGACAATTTGGCTTGTCATTAAGGGGTGATGGTGGGTCCCGCAGCCAAACCAGTTGAGAACCACTGTTGTATAGAACTGTAGTTTTCAGTTAGTCTGTCAGGATATAGTGAAAGTTCGGGCAAATATGACAGAAAGTTGTTTTCATAAAAGTTACCAACTGCAGCTTTAATGTACATCAAATGCAGAGAGAACCAGACTTTTTATTTAAGACCTTTATTTATAATATCCCTTGTTCTGTGGTGAAGACAAACTCAACACTTCTTCCTATTTACCTGCTGTCTGAATTAATTCATAGATTCCCATATCACTAATTATATCAGTACAATAACAGAGTCATGTCATACTCACCACTGCTTAAAACAGATATTGTTGTTATCCACTAATTGGTTCCTGTCTCTTCCACTTTGTCATTTTTTTGATTGCTGTTAAGTTAATGAAACTCAACACACCCTGCAGAGATGTTTCACAATAAAAGACCACCAGTGGCTCATAATCCCTCACTTTTAATAGAAAGCTTTCAATTTGAAATATCTGCAGGAAGTGCTGAGTTTCACGAATGATAACGTGATAACAATTTAAAAAAAGTAAAAGTAGAAGCAACCGGAAATAATTAGTGAATGAAAACAATGCTTGTGTTAAAAAGAGAAGGGGACATGACTGTCGTGTTGTTATTGCTGAGGAATTACCTTTACTTTACCTTTACCTTTTTCCAGACCTTGATTAGTAACAGTTCAGCTGTTGGTGCTTTCATTTGAGACTCTGTTCTGTGTCTTCCCGCTGCAGCTCATGGCCCCTCATCTGCGTTACACTCTAGAGATCAACTGTAGAGGGCGCACTCAGCTCCTCTCGTCCACTGGCATCTTCAAAAGGGTGTGTCACCGGGCCCTCCGCCTCATCACAGATACATTATTGATTTAAAAACCCACTTGATGTGTTTAACGATCTAATGGGAATGATTGTGTGTAGGTTGTGTCTACGGGTGGTGATGGCCTGGTGATTCTGGCTCAGAGGGAGTACAAGGGCCTGACCTACCGCTCCCTCCAGCCTCCCAATGACTTCCCCGACAGAGGCGTCTCCCAGCTCCCAAACTATTTCTACAGAGACCACAGTCTGATGCTGTGGGAGGCCATACTCAGGTATTACACCCTGTGCTCATACTAGCAGCTGGTAGGACACAACAGCTGTCTGCTGCTTTATTCTGAAAACCAGAAGACCAAAGTGAAGTTACAGCGTCTTTATCTTCAATAATGGGACTAAATGAAATGGAATATTTAGGTGCTTGGTAGCTTGTTAAGCAATTTGAATCCTTCAGATTTGATTGGACCAGTAAACATAATTCACTATATTAAAATGTATTAAATGGTTTACAGTAAGCCAACCAGTATCTAGCAGATCTCACTTTGCTCACCATCCACACTGGATATGTTTCTAAAACAATGACTACAGCACACAGATACCTTTCTATACTAGTGTCCTCCTATCTATACCCAGATACATTCAAATCGCCACAGTATGGAAAAGCATCGATGCAGAGTCACTGTAGATCATTTTATATCTGGATTTTAAAAATATATATACTATAAAATGTCAAACACAAAATGTACTTCTGAATCACTTCATTGGACATTGAAGTGGCTGTGTAAATAGAGTATTACATCATCAGCATAAAGATATATTTTGTTTGAAGAGAAGGTGATGGGATGCACAGTTGCTCTGGATTTGCCCTGCAAGTGGTTCAATTGATATATCAAACAAAAGTGATGGAAAAGGGAAGCCCAGATGGGAGCTGATATGATATATGATAATGACTGGATAAAGTCCCATTCACATTTGTTAAATGCTTCCTCTGCGTTTCTTCACATGCTCATTTAGAAATGATAATGCTCAGTAAAAGTAAAGTAAAGTACCAAATATTTGTGTGACATAGGTTGCATTGTAAAATAAATATTTGCATTAAATGAACCTTTGCCAAGGTGTCTTGGTCTGGCTGATACGCTCCTCTGGATTTCTGTATGTTGGGTTGAGTTTCACACAAGCTCACTTCGTGCTATTGATTTGAGGGAATACATTCTGTAATTTGAGGACATCACGAGGGCCAGATGCATTTAACTGTGCCTCTTCCTTCAGTTTTGTCTCAGGTATGGTAGGCCTGTACTACCAGTCAGACCATGATGTGCAGGAGGACCTGGAGCTCCAAGCCTGGATTAGAGACATATCACTGGAAGGCTTCGCAGAACTCCCCAAGTTTGGTCAGTTATTAATATCCTGCATGTTTATCTTTATTTACACACAGGTTAAAAAGCACACTTCCATCAGGGCATTTTTATAAAGATCTTAAAGGTACTATGTGGAGCTTGTGACACCGGTGGCCATTAAGTGAACTGCAGTCAGCATCCTGTTGCTTGCACACCGAGCATTATTACATCACAATATATCATATCATATGATTGTATGATATTCCTATATTTTATTTGGACTATTGATTCTAATTAGCTTGCCGTTTGCGAATTGCTTCATTAGCTCACGGTACGAAGCAACAAAAACAAGATCCATGTCGCATAGCTAAGGTACAGCCATCTAGCTAACCTTAGCTTAGCATAGAAAGCAATAGTTAGTTATACTCCTTGGCTTTGTACCACTACATCATTTAATGTTGGCTAAAATCAACACCGTTTGTCGTAACACATTGGAATTATGGATCACGTTAGCTGGTGAAGTAATTTGGCAAGCTAACCAACTAACATATGCACTCAGATAGTATAACATTGGCGATAACGTTAGTGAGCAAGCAGGCTAAGGTTAGCCAGTTAGTTGTTACTTAGCATGCTCCATGGATATGCTGTTGTTTGCTTTGTAACATTAGCTGATAAAGTAATTTGCAAATGGCAAACTAGCCAATGGGATGGACCAGCGTGATGAAACACCAGGAGTCTGGATGAATTAGCTTAAGTTATCCACTCCAGACTCAAGTATTTTGCTACGTAGCTACACACTGTTGGTGCCGTAGGGGAGCTGTAGAGAGGCAAGGTACTCGGGAGCTAGCATAAATGTCACATCCTTCTGATGTCTCAATATGTACCATATGTCACATTTTTACAAAATTTGCAGGAATCATCCATTAAAACTGCTGTCAGAAATGATATATTGTTTGTGCATTTAATTATTGATGGTGTATGTCTGCTTAGGTCTGCCCAGTAAGCTCAGCACCAGAGAGGAACTCTCCACCCTGCTGTCAGTGGCCATCTTCATCAGTACCGCCCAGCACGCTGCCACTAACAACGGACAGGTGCTGAACACCACAAGGAGTCCACACCACAGTCACATCCTGCACAGAGGGGCTTTAACTCATTCTCTCTCTGTTGGTGGTTTTTCCCAGTTTGACTGGTGTGCCTGGGTCCCCAACACCCCCTGCACCATGAGACTCCCTCACCCAACAGACAAGGATGCTGTCACCATGGAGATGATCATGGCCACCCTTCCTGATGTCAGCCAGTCCTGTGTGCAGATGGCTATCACATGGCATCTGGGGCGAGCACAGCCAGACGCAGTGAGTCCACCTCTGTCTGCTTTATGTAGCAATAGATCATATATTAAACAAGGACTCCAAATTCTAATTTTGATCAGCTGACATTGCTGATGAGTGAAAGGGTCGAGTATGGAAGCCCAAGGCAAGTGAAAAAATAAAATTCTGTTCATCCATTTTTTACGTCTGAACATAAATGTTTTGTCTGCTGTGTTTATTATTTAGAAACAGGTGAAAAAGGAGGTTTTGTGTTTGTTTCAGACAGCACACACCACCCTGACACTAGAGGCCATGATGTTCATGAATATTTTATAAAATAGACGTACTGATGTGTTTTCTCCCGCCTAGATTCCATTGGGCCAATACACAGTGGAGCACTTCACGGAGGGGCGGGCCCAGGAGGTGATTGACAGGTTCACAGCAGAGCTGAAGGAAATTGAGAAGCACATCATGAGTCAGAATGAAGGACTGGAGCTTCAGTACCTGTTCCTCCTGCCCAGCCAAATAGAGAACAGCATCACTATATAAAGAGACTAACAGACTACAAGATTATTGCAGAAAAAGATTCTAATTACATCTGCTGTGATTTATGGAGGCCCTGAGAGGCAAGTGAGACCTTTGCACACTGTAAATGGATCCCTCGTTTATTTTGTGGGATTAATTTGCACATCAAAATATATTTTTTAACTGTTTTGAGCTTTCTGACAGGCCACAAAATATTATGGGGCGACACAATTTTCTTATGGAGCGAGGTCGTTTATTTCTGAGCTTTCGCACTAAAGGCGTCGACCAATCCCGTTGTGCGGAACAGACATGTTCAATACGTCCACTATAGTGTTCAACAACATAAAGGCTCTGTGGTCCGAACCAAGATGACAAACTTTATTACTACTTTCAACCTTGACAAAGGCAGTGCAGACCAGATCCACTTCTTTTGCTCTTACTTATCACAATAAAAGCCCTGGACACATACATTACACATTCGTAAGTGTTTACCAGAGGGAGCTCAAATTCAGTCAGAGCATTGTGCTTAAAGGAAACTCATGAAAATATGTTGCAGTAGCTTCAGGCTAAACAACAGTTCAGACGCTGCCTGCATGAATCTATTCAAATCTTTTATGTAAAAGTGTTGCCAAATCGCTGCCGGTATGAATAGTTTTGATGCAAAATATTTGTCGCCGAGTATTTAGCATTTTCGTGTTGTTTATTTGTCACAGCTCCAGTGTGTAAAGGCCTGGAGACTGATCTCAAATGTTTTCTCTCCTATGTGTATAAATTAAGAACAGGTGGAAAATAGATCATTTTAGTTAGTTTTTCATCTGTGAAGACAGGTGAAAAAAAAAAGCATTCATGTTGTCTTCCAGGCGAGTTCTAATTTACTTACTAACACAGTAACTCCACAGCACTCCAAGCTTGTGTTTGGAGTGCATGGAGAAACTAAAACATGAACGCTTCTAGTCCTTTTTAGGTAGTGGTGCACTTCAGCCTCTTGTGGCCGAAGTGAGTACTACACTAATATTGTAATAATATTAAAAAACAAATAGCCTACCGAACCTTTAAAAAAAAAAAAAAAAAAAAAGTTTCACTTACCTTTCGGAGCTTCCTTAACGATTCAATGTTGTAAAAACACAGAAAAAATGTGAGAAAGCTAAGTAGGGAAAAAATACATACATTTCTATGAATATTAGACCATTTATGTTTTTTATGACATGTTAAAATGATCAGCCAGTGTGTCTGAATGTCTACCAGAGGCAGTTGGGTTGTGTGTCAGCCACATCAACACCATGGTCACCACATCCAACGTGGCATTTTTTACCAAATTGTGCTCATAATTGAAGCATGAAACATACCATTGAGTGGAATGCTGGAGACGTAGAGTTGTTTCTGTCTCTGAAAACGCTGCATCGGGTGGTCGATGGGGAAGGGGTCAAAGGTCGTGGACCAGGAGTCGGTGGTCAGTCGAAAGGCCAAGGAGGAAATTTACCACGTTGAGCTAAGCTATTTTTGTCAGTGCGCTTTTGATTTTATTCTATAGCCAATATTTTCATCTTTAAGTATTTACCACATTTTTGTATATTTTATATTCTGGTAATTACGGCGACAGTTGTTGATGTGTTGAAAAGCTAGAAAGTCATGAAGCAAGTTAACTTTGAAGAAGTGAAACATCGGAGCTGGTGGGAAATAAACAGTCAAATGAAGCTGACTCAGGTCTCAACATACCTTTAATGTTTGAAATGGATGCTGGACATTACAATAAGGACAAGCTTCAGAATATGATTTCAAGCCGACAGAAATAAATAACTTGATATGACTAACATTCCACACAGACACTCTTGTACAGTACAGTAGGTATCAAACCCAGGACACAATAATTTACAACCTTTTACATTTTTCAACAAGAAGAATCTCTGAGACAACAACAACTATTAGCGTTCCAGTGGTTCTTTCTTTCTTACGAATTCAGTTAATCATTTCAACCCTTGTGATCAGAGGTAGAATTAATCTCATTTTAAATAAACTGATCTTCCTCACACAGCCGCTGGGAGCTCCTGAGTGCAGCAGGTGGCGCTAGTGCACCAGGTACTCCTGAAGAAGAACAACAGAAAAAACATGCATAATTAACAGCAGAGAAAATTATTTTTCATAAATCATAAATCAGTTTAATCATTAAATATTATACTGGTGGATGGATATTGGTTTTAAATAATGATCATGATATGACTACTTTCACACATACTCTATTCCTAATCATAATGTGTGTGATTTAATGTTTTATTTGGGGATTTACATTTTCAGCCCTTTTTTTGATAATTCTTAAAGAAAACATGACGGCTATCTTGTTTGTTCGGTCCAAAGCATTCCAGGGGTCATATTTTAAAGGGGACATATCATGCCCATATTCGGGTTCATACTTGTATTTTGGGTTTCTACTAGAACATGCTTTGATGTTCAGAAAAGACAATTTGTTTTCCTCATACTGTCTGTCTGAATGTACCTGTATTCCCCCTGTGTCGGAAACGCTCCGTTTTAGCGCCTGTCTCTTTAAGACCAGTCTGTTCTAATTTGCTTGCGAGAAAAATATGGCGCATCTTTATAAAAGGTGTAGTTCTCAAGCCGTTCTAATGAGCCTGCATGTGACATTAGAAGGAGAGTCAAGTCTGATCGGGGTTTAACAAATGTAATCACCTTCTGCTTGTTGAGCTTCATCTGGCAGGTGGAGAAGGCTCCAAACAGGATGTAGATAGCAGCTGCTATGAAGCAGTTGTAGCCCACACTGTTGTACATGGCGTAGATCCTCTGAGGGTTTCCACTGGGGGGGGGGGGACACAGCAGCATTAAAACCTACCAAGTAGTGCACATCTCACAAAAAGTCTTAAAGCAGTAACTGTTTCAAAATAGATAGATACTTTATTCATCCCACAAGGGGAAATTTGTTAAAATACAAATTGTACTGTTCAAGAAACAGTTGTCTTTGTGTTAGAGGTGCAATGTGTAAGATCTGGCCGGAATTGTAATTTAACTTTTACAGTCAACGAATGAACTGTCATGATCAGCACAATGTGAAGAGGTACAGTGCTGACGTTACGTTGCAGAGATATCGACTGAAATGGTCATGCTAACCAGCTAGCCGTGGCCGTCCTGTCTTTTAATACCACTTGGTCCCCCGAGACGGGATAGTGAGACACTGTAGCGTCCAGACTGTCCTCAGGCCAACATGAGGAGGAGGAGGAGGAGAAGAAGTATTGTTTTTTTATCTTATGCTGCATTTGCACTATAAGCAACAAAAGCAGTCAGCGAGTCCCCGTTGAAGCGTTGTTCGAACGCTCACTGGCATAAATGTCCGAGTTTCAGCAATTCCGTAGAATTTTGCCTATTGTTGACCTGCTGTTCGTTAGGCGTTTGGCTGTTGACTGTAACTTGAGATCGTACGGACCGTAGAGGTTGTAGAGGTGAAACACCGACCCCTACTTGTTAGGAACATGTGGCCAGATGTGACACACCGCCCCTTTAATTAGAGAGAGGCTGAGGCATCGAGCCTCGGTGCGGCCGTGTACATCTGGAGTGAGGTGTGACGGTAAAGGCCTTACTCCTGGTAGATGCTGTCATCAGTCACGGGCACATCTTCAATCAGCACGGCTGAATGTGTGGTGAAGAAGATCCCCAGCATGGCCTGAGGAAGAGGAGGGAGACTCGTTACTGAAGGGCACCTGAAGATACGAATTAACATTCAATTACATGCATGTCTCGTATAATTGGTTAAAAATACAAAAAAACATTTGAGGATCTTTATGTGATGAACACCAGACATTATGAATTATACCTAAATACCAAAGTATGATTATGCACAATGTAAATATTTTATTACATCAAATGAATCTGAGCAAACCTAGTAACGTGCAACATTCAACAACAACATACAAGCAGTGGGTACGGAAAGTATTCAGACCCCTTTAAATTTTTCACTCTTTGTTTCATTGCAGCCATTTGCTAAAATCAAAAAAAGTTCATTTTCTCAGCACCCCATCTTGACAGAAAAAAACAGAAATGTAGAAATTTTTGCAAGTTTATTAAAAAAGAGAAACTGAAATATCACATGGTCATAAGTATTCAGTCCCTTTGCTGTGACGCTCATATTTAACTCGCATGCTGTCCATTTCTTCTGATCCTCCTTGAGATGGTTCTACTCCTTCATTGGAGTCCAGCTGTGTTTAATTAAACTGATTGGACTTGATTAGGAAAGGCACACACCTGTCTATATAAGACCTTACAGCTCACAGTATATGTCAGAGCAAATGAGAATCATGAGGTCGAAGGAACTGCCCAAGGAGCTCAGAGACAGAATTGTGGGAAGGCACAGATCTGGCCAAGGTTACAAAAGAATTTCTGCAGCACTCAAGGTTCCTATATATGTATGTATATAGGAACATACATATATATATATATACATATATATATATATATATATACA